AAATCTTTGCTTTTTGGTAGGAAAAATGATATCATTTTTACCCAAACATTTGTTTTTCGATTCAGAATTGAAGAAAGCCTGCAATGTAAAAGCAACAGGACCACTACAATCTGTTGGACCGTTGTAAGTCATTTGTTTTCTTCATGTGGGTGATAAAATTTGTATACTTCATTGATTTTCCTCATAACTTTAGAGATTATGTAGATCAATCAAATTATATTTATTTGGGTTTGACTTAGCATGTGATGGAAAATAAGCTCCAATACCAACCAAGACTGTACACTAAGTAGTTTTGTTTTTCCTTCATGTATCTTCTTATGGAGATATTAGATTCTCTATGATCAACATTTTATTCTCATTATTTTTACATTCTGCAGCTGTAGATTCTTGAATCATGCTTCCTCTTATCGCATCTTTCATTCAGGTTAGCAAGAATTGAAAATGATTAAATGCATGTCTATTTGAGTGCTTTATTGTATTAAGGCTCTTATTTTATATAATTTGTAAGTTCTACCCGTGAACTTTGAAGTTGTTGTTCTATAATTTGGGCTTGTTGCAATTTGCTTTTGTATGATACTCTGATTTAGTTTGAGTGAATGGTATTTTGGTATAAGGTATTTGCATTAATTTATTCAACACAATATCAGTTATGATTGAAGTGTATATAGATAATGATGTTTTTACAGTTTTTATTTTTAATTTTTAGAGTAAAAGTTTCTGTAATTATTTATGACATCTTATTGCAGTAATGGTGGCAAGTTTGTTGTTTTAGTTTTCAAGAAAGAGACTGTCGTAAGTTGTTTACTCTATTTCTTATGGTGTTACTGAGTTATGTGAAATATTTTGTTGTCCTTTGAGAAAAACGATGACATTATGACATTTAAAAAAAAAATTGTACCTTCCCTCACAGAACCTACTGAAAAGCCACTCATATTCCCATTTAGTTCTTCACAAGCCATCACCGCCTCTAGACGTTAAGGTAGCCACAATTCATCTTTGTGGAAAAATAGCTTGTGGCTAGACACTCGAAGACCACTCAAGATTTGTACTAGCGTCACTTTGACAGAAGACCCTCCAAACTTATGATGCAGCTGCAATAAAGTTTTAAAGAGACAATGTTGATATCAGCTTTAACTCAAAGACCGAGGAAGATATGAAGCAGATGAGAGTCTATTTGCGGTCTTGGTTAGTTATCGTGTTTTGTAACTCTTAGATTCTTATAGTTTGTGAATAATTTCATAATCGTTTTATGGCTTCATTTATTTGATTTTGTTCGTTATCATTTGGAGACGAAATAATTGCCCCGGGGAGTCCATGTTTTTTCTGCCTCAATTTTTATGTTTTTTGAGCTTATCTTACTTCGGGAAACTTTGTGTGGAAAAATTAGGTCAAGGCTTTTGGAAACGTTTCCGGCCGTGCAACTGCTTGCGAATGAGCCCGGGGATGCGGTTCAAGAGTCGCGCTTTTAAGCAGCCTCATGTATTTCATGTGGGCTGTGGGTGTTCGTTCTTTTTACCGGTTTCAGGAATTTGGTTATAGTGTTTGGGTTTTCTAATTTTGTGTTTTTTTTTGCTCATACATTGTGAATATACCTTTATTCGGTGTCTAATGTGTTTCCTTTTTTTTTGGGCGAGCGAGACTGAGAATTGTTGGTCTGGTGTTTCTCCGTGGTTGCGTGTGCCAGCATATCGCATATATTCCATCTGTTCATTAGGTAAGTCTCTTGCCCTTCCCTTTCATGCGCTTCCACTGAATTCTTTGTTGTAGTATTAT